GGAAAGAGTTTGAGAGTGAGTGTGTGTAGCTGCTGGGTGAAATGAAAGAGAAATAGATTGAGTGGGACAATGTTTTTTTTTTTTTTAAATGAAAAGGTATTAGTTTGTGGAATATTTTTGCATAAATGTTCAAATAATATCATTAACCACACTGTTTAAATACATATGATTTCTAATAGATTTTTTGAGAGCCACAAAAACAAAATAATAGTCCTATAATATTTCACTAGTAAAAATATTTTGGGAATTTTATGTGTATTTTCTATATAAGAAAAAAATAGAACAAAAAATCCCCCCAGAACATATCATTTCAAAGCAGAAAATGCAGAAAATTAATATTGAAATGGATATTGAAATTTCGGCAAGATAACAAAAATATAATTAATACTGAGTCAGCAAATCTTAAAATCTCGACTTCAGCGACTGTGAAACCATTACACTGATTCAGACATCTGCAGACAATTTTTTTTCAGTATCCATTATGTTCATGATATGAGCTTCTGATATTTAATGCCTGCAAATCACAGAATACCAAACAGATTCTCATCTGATAGAACACATTTTGCAAACTGTATAAACTGTGACGATGACTGTACTTTAAGAAATGTCTGAGTCAGTAGGCCTAAGTGAAAGTCTGAGCAACATTGCTTTTGGACAAAGTCCTTTCTGGTGGTCTGTTAGTGATATAAAGATGAAAGGTGTCATGTTGTTTTTGTCTACTACTGCAAAAAGATTGTTTTTTTGTTTGTATCTAATTTCACTGACTTGTGTTTTTCTCCATTCTTTGTGCTACAAGTCATCAGAAGAAATGAGTCAAAAGACATTGAAAGACTTTTTTTTTTTTTTTCAAAATGATTGTTGTGCTTAAAGCATTATTTTTTGGGGGAATTTTTGGGAAAATCCTGTCATAATTTACTCACTCTCCACTTGTTCCAAACCTTATATGCGCTTCTTTCTTCTGTTGAACACAAGAATGTTGGTAGCCTTTGACTTCCATATATTTGTATCCACTTTAGAAGTCAATGGCCACCATCAACTGTTTGGTTACCAACATTCTGCAAAATATTTTCTTTTGTTCTCAGCAGAAGAAAGAAACTTATACAGGTTTGAAACAACGTGAGAGTGAGTAATGACAGAATTTTTATTTTTAGGTCAACTATCCCTGCATTCTCATATTTGAATGCTAGTAAAGGCAAAAATCCTTTAGACCATTTTACTTTCAGTATGTTTTTGGCAAAGACCCTTTTACATAATTAAGTTAGTCCTACATTTTTACACACGTAACTCGGTGTAGCACTGAAATGCGCTTTTACTCTTACTGCCCTGCCTTATACTGCCACCCTTTGATCAACTGGACAGTTGCTGATTCTAGTGGCTTTCTTGTGTTATTTCTGTGGTCTTACTATTGCTGTTTTTTTTTATAAACATAAAACATAATTTTTAAGTAAATAATTTAATGAACACATCAAGAGAGTCTGAAGAAATGTGTTGTTTTTGTAGGTTATTAGTCTCTTAGCGTTCTCAATCTTCTTTGTTATATATATATTCTATATATATTATATATGATTCAATGATTCATTTATAAATACAGCCACTAGCTTAGTTACTGAATGACTCACGCATTAAGACAGTGACTTACCGCCACCTACATTAATATTGTTGCTGCTGTTGTTTTGAACATATATCCTACAGTAGTCTACTGCTGGGACAGGTGCATCGTCTCCTCTCTTCCCTTCTCATCATGGCTTCTTCCTCGCGCTAGCCGCGTGTTTCAGTTCCACGTCGGCTAAAGGAAGGTCGTCGCCTATCGTCAGATCCGCAAGGCATTTCGGGCTACTGGAGGCTGATTCGCCCAACAATACAAACAAGCCTCCGGACATAGTGGATTCCGCTGCACATGCGAAAAGCCGCCAGCTTATGTATTAACATAAATTCAGCCCCCATGAATGCATGCTTATTTCCTCACTCTTTTGGAAGAGCCAGTATATAATTGCGAATGAACTGGGATAAAATATCCAGCACGCGCGACAAATAGCTAATCCTAGAATAGGAAATACACAGGTAAGATAACCATTTATGTCTTGATTTTTATTTATGTAGTCCTTATCACACTAAACAGATGTTGAATTAGCGTTCATGTAGTGTATATGACGACAAAAATTAATATGTGGCTTTAGCTAGCGATCTTGCTGATCAAGTGTGTGATATTTGTCTTGATGCATGCAAACGTTTTTTTTTTTTAATTAAAGGCCCTTAGGCGACGTGGACGGTCACTTGGACGTTGGATGCTTTAGTCAGACACATTATGCTTGGCTGACACATTATGACAATGATGCGTTATGGGAAATAAAATGCATAACTGTTTCACAGCTGAACGAGCCATAAGGTCGATGATGTAGCTAATACACGTTTATCTTTAAACGGAGTAGAAATCGCGTGCTTTAAAGGAAGTTGTTGGTAAAATGGCATGAAAATAGTCGCCGTTCACCTGTCACACCTGCTAGCCCAGGTAGTTGCTCCGCAGGATTTAGACACCACGCATATCAACGGTTTTAGACTTTAGTTTAGACTTCTTAAGTGAACGTTTTCGTTTACCTCCATGTACTAACACATTTTTCTTTGAGCTCATAACTTGATTTATATTTTCAAAACTAAGCCAATAACATTCGAGTGCTGGATATTTCACAGGTTTGGACTTTTTATTTTACAAATGGACTTTTACAAATTATTCACTGAACGAGTCGCTGTCTTGTTGTTTTCCAACAACAACAGTAATCGCCAACAGTTGACTAAATAGAGATGCAATTGTTTTGTGAGAAAATGTGTATGATGCTCTTAGTAGGTTTGTAAGCATGCACCTTTTAATAAAACAATTATTATCCTTTGGTCCACTCCGTGTTTGCAGACAATTCGGTTGAGTGAATTATTAAATGACTCGCTTATAACAATTGTAGCCACCTATTGACTGGTATCTGAACGAATCCTTTTTAGTGAACAGATTCAAAATATTCGAATCACTGGGATAAATCAAAATCCTTATCACTTGTCAACACCTGGAATATGTGTTGTTTTGTTATAAACAGCCTCTTGTTACAATTCAGGTCCCTTTAGACTTAATTTTGGAAAGACGCTTAATATGGGAACATTACCTCAGCCAGCTAGCTCCAGTCATGTTCCTTTCACTGTGGTGGTTGTCATAGATGCAGCCTTGGTTAGATGGCATGCTGCCTCAGCAAATCCAATGGAAAATCACAGGGGGAAAAAAGCATTGATGCATGTTGTTGTATTATCATGGCTGTCAAATTACAATCCTATCTATTTAATGATTTTGTAGTTCTTTGAAGCCATGTAGAGTAACATAATTACAGTTGAAAAATCTGTCCAGCTACCCATGCATATTTCCATCAGATGAGTTATACTGGAGGGTTTGTATACTGTATATGACAACAGGTTGCTGAAATGTCATCCAAATTGATCCCAGATGTCTTTCTGAATAACACAGCCCTCTATGAACAACTTGGCAATTGAATCGCCATTGGTTAGTAAATTTTTTAGTATACTCACCAGAATTTAGTCGCCCAGAGTAAGATTTAGTCGCATATGCGAGTGATTTACTCGCAATGTAGAGGGTTGTAACAGCATTTCTACAGTGGATGTTGAGTGTCATCCTCACTGCATCTTTCTGTAGGTGTTGATACTGACCACCATGCAAAGTATTCATCAGTAAGAGGGAATGTCATTCACATCAACAGGTAGCTGGTAAATCAAAGGCGATACTACAAGCCACAAATTGAAACGTTGCTTTCTGGCATAAGGACTTTGCCACAGTTTCGTTCTGCTAAGCAAATGGTGCTTATTTTAATGCCTTCAATAAGGTCACATCATCCCACATCCCGTGACCACCTATCCCCTCCATTCCATCATTATAGTAAAGGAGCACTTGCACTTGCTCACCGCCATCAACACTGCTCACTGAGCGCAAATTTATTAATGCCAGTTTTCCATTCCTGTGGTTTACAGTTTACAGTAGCTTTTATCCTGCCCAAATTTCATGCTCTAGCACTCAGAAGAATTAAATGGCTCTTCTGTGAAGGCAGACTATGATGCCTCCGCTCAGATCAGCCCTCTGAGCACCGAGCCTCCCTCCCCGATCTCCTGTCTAAAGCTGAAGCTTGCATGAGTCACATGATTGTTACATAGCTCCCAGCATTCCTATATTTTCCTCTGCCCATTGAGGAGGCTGAGCTTTATGAGAACTAATAATAAAAGCCTGCTTGAGAAGTTGCTCACTCATCGCTGTGAAGCCCCCTTCTACAGGTGTGGCATTGGGCTCTGAAGGAGTAACCAAAGCAAGTATCGATGAAAATATCTAGAAACGTTTAACTAGGTTAATTAGTTTGAAGTGAAAGATCTAGGCCTACTCCTTGAACTCCATGTCAGTTCCTTTCGTGGTAACGACTGGGTTAGGCTCTGTCAGATCTGATAAGTGTGTTTGAACAGAACATTCCTGAGTAAACTCTTTTCCATCTACAGCTTCCGGCAAATGTATGTGGAGTATAGAAGGTCTTATAGATTTTACAATTAAAGGGATATTTTCCCCAAAAATACATTGTCATCATATATTCACCATCATGTTTTCCACAAAAGGATGTGTTAGACAGAATGACACCAGGCCTTGGTTACCATTCACTTTGACCTTGTGAGCCTGTAATAATATATAGCGTTTGTTGTCTGAAGAGAGGTCTGGTCTACATTGTTAACTATCAGCAGTGCTTTTATGAATATGTTATTCTGAAATGTCACAAACAACCTTTTGTAATGTATTGAAGAGCTCTGTTTTATTTTCTTATCTTTTTTCTTATCTCACGCTCTCTTTCAGTAACACTCCAGTATGGCGGACAGTATGATGAGTAAAGCAGCCACTATGGAGATTCCTATTAGCAGTAATGGGGACTCTAGGAATCTAGCAGAAGATGACAGCCTGGAGCAGGTGAGCGATATATGGTGATTCAGGTAAATTCAGGTGCAGTTTAACTGAACTCACCCTATTGGTTGAGTTTGTTTGCAAAGCTGAAGCTGTATCAAATCAATGAAGTGTCAAAGCATCAAAATGTGGATGGTGGAGGTGGTTTTCATAGCTAGAGTTATGTTTTTACAGAGTGTAAAATATAGCTGTCTGCCCAGTTGGTTTAGTTTTGTTGCAGGTTTCACAATATCAGTCATGAGAAAAGATCTTAAGGTTGCAGGTGATGCAAACATTGCAGTTTATAATTGTTCAGCTTTTTCTTGAGGACTTTAAATCATAAAAAATAAGGTTGTTGGGCATGTTAATAAGTAAGAGTAATATGCATTTATTTCATAAAAATGGCTTGTGGCGATACTTCAGTGTAAGTCTAGTGTGTGTCTTGCTTGTCTTTGCCTTTTAAGAAGCAGAAGGCTAATTCAGCCAAGCACAAATTGTTCAAATCTCCCTATTGTTGAAACCATTGTAAAGAAAAGGTAAAGTGGTAATGTTGTCTCAAGACACACCTCTGTAAGACAACTAAACCGTGGAACTGGATCCGGGAGAAGACGTGTTAGGCAAACAGACAAGCAGTGAGATATTTGCTAGGATGTTGAATCATTCCTATAAGGACTTAAAGGTTCTTTGTTTTAATTTGTTTTAAATTTTTTCCCCCTAACATTCTCATGTTATGTCCAGTTTAAAAAGCCCATCCTAGAATAACTGTGGCTGATCTAGGGATGAAATGATTACCGGTTTGATGATAAATCATGATACAATTCCCCACGGTTAGTATTTCATATTTTAATTATCATTAAAACCATATTCGATTACCGTGATTTGAACAACTCAGGATAAATAAATACTGTCTAGCATAAAGCAGAGTTTTAAGTAACAGTCTCATGTGCGCACAGCATGCAGAGTAGTTTCGTTTTGTGTGAAAACATGGCGGAAAGCTGCCTGGGATGTTTTTAAAGAGTGCTAAGGGAATTATACAAATGTATATATATGAATGAATTCATTATATGAATGTACCTCTGAAGTAAGGATGTGCCGATAGAAACGA